TTAATAATGAAAAAAAATGTAAAAGTGTATACAAGTAACGTTTGATACTTGGAAAATTCTTTTCGATAACTACTTTGGGCTTTTCGCCGCAGCAATTTAATCTAATTTATGTTAAACGTCTCGAAATATCGAGAGAGGGATTGTAAAAGATCGATCTTCCACCTTTATTCGTGCAACTCACTCATCTCCCTCTCCGAGAGGAATCTCCATCAAAACGGGACGTGCATCGACCCTACTATGGAAATGAATAAATAATCAACGTCTAAACTAAGTTAAACGATATTGCGCTCCTAGAAGCGCGGCGCTAGATCCTGCATCCATTTACTTCTGAAAGGCGGTCTTTCCGTGTGCCTTCGTCTATTACTTGGCCCCTGGAATGATTAAAGCGCCGGATGAAAGACTAAAAAATACTGTGCAGCGCGCTATCATGAACACGCGGAGGGCCAAAGAACGCGATTGCGCGCCAGCTCGAATTGGATTTGATATCGTGTCAAAGAACGTATTACATGCCACTCGAATGAGCTCTCACGCTAATAGTCATCTCACTTCTGAAATATGACGACATCTTCCACGTTTGTCATTACTATTTTATGTCGCTTATATTTGATAAGAAAATCGCTTTTCTTTTATTTAAAATTTATAAAAAGTTGAGTTCTTTAATGTATGTACGAATATCTTTCTAGCACTTTCATTCCAGATAGCTTAACTTTTAGAATATTATATATTTCAATTTTTAAAATAAATTATTATAATCGAAAATATTTAAAAATAAGTAAAGAAAAATGGAACTATAGAAAACTTCTTATTTTAAAAATATATTGTCATAAGATGTTAAATATTTTTTGACAGGCGTGAACTGCAATTTCTGCAATAATATTCAAAAAGATTTGTTTGCATACTTCCTGTCATAAATCCCGTGAAAGAAATCTGATGTAATACTTGCAATTATTTTGCAAAAGAATAGCTTTTTGTATTTTTGTGTGTCGTGCACATAAATGTGACGCTCGTTCCGCGGCTATTTTCTCGATAACAGCAATTATTAAAACGGTAACGAACGCGATGGACTGTCTCCTCTGTAATTGCGAATAATTGAATGAAAAGTGCCGACTTCGTGCAACAGGCGAAACGTCAGCGACAGCCTTTGACGTACCAAAGCGCCGCCGCCGTTTCGTTTTAAGCTCCTATACCATCCTGTAGCGATGACGTTGAGTCTCGTGCATACTATGGAATACTTGATATCGCGAAATTTTTAAAGAAAAATGTATTACGTTAAAAAATATAAATAAAAATACTTTTTAATATTAATAATATAAGAATAATAAATAATATATTAATCAAATAGTAATAATTAGTTTAGTAACTTTTGAAAAATGTGTGTGTAAAACAGACTTGGCAAATTATAATTATTAAATTATTATTTATTTCTGTAAATATAATATTATGCATATTTGATTTAATACTTACTATCAATATGTAGGTATTTATTTATTTTTTATACAATACTTATAATTAGTATATTTTTTATATTTTATATGATTTATAAAAAAATAATCATTATCTATAGCAATATGCAATATTAATAATTAATAAAATAATAACTAATAAAGTAAAATAATAAAATCATTTTGAAATTACAAAGTATTAGTAATCTCAGAGTATCAATCTTTCCAATTTACGTAGAAATCGCAGAACAGCTGTCGCTGCCAAACATACCCATATATGCTTTCTCGTTATACTCGCGATACGCACAGAAAGGCGATGTGGAATGCGTTAACATTTGCACTTTAACATTCGCCTGTTCGACGCATCAAAGTGGAAACGCATTGCAATACATTGACAGTTCCAGTTCTTTAGTGACTGAATAAAGAATGACGCAGAAACATAAAAAGAAAAATAGTAGTTGCATTAATTGCGATTCTTTTTCTCTTCATTTTTATAAAATTTTCATGCTCAAGCAACGTTTAATTAATTTCGATTAAACAATTAGAAGGAACTTAACCGAGCTATCGCCACCAAATTCAATACGATAAAGGATAAGACAGCAAATGATACAATCGAAAATTCGAAATTAATTGACAGATACACGGATAATAATCGAAATTAATTGACAGATACACGGATAATAATCGAAATTTTCACAGCAAACTTGTAGCTCTCAATTGCAAAGATTGAATAAATGATCGTAAGATCGACATTCGATACTTGACCCAATTCAATCGTTCAATTTTATCGACATTCGAAAGAAGAAAAATGTCATCTTTAAAGACAATGGTATCTTTTAACTCACGTCATGTCCATTTATGTTCTTATCTTAATTTTTAAAAGCGAAGTGTCCAATTGTAAGTGCCCAATATCGCTGGATTGAAAGATCGATACTATCGGTTTCTCCAAAGACTTCGGAACTTAGCAATAAAATAGATTTGAACACCCTATTATATCTTTTCTTTAATAGGATCTTGGCATGTTCGTCCATTTGAAATCGCAAATGGAAAATCTACTGACGAGAATTTATCGTGAAGTCCTTATTCCTGTCGGTTTTATCTTGAGAAGATGTGCTCGACGTCGATCATCATTTAAGTATCATTGGCGCTAAATAGAAACCGGTGCGCGGTTTTGCGAATGTCGATAACGGGTTAGCAATTTGTACAGCCTGTCGGTACTCTAATCGCTAGACTCGTCGAACCATTGCTTCTCACCTTGCCCGGATCGTTGCAAAAAGAGGAACGTTACAGCGAACGGCGGGAGAAGAACGGTTGTTTCTTTAAGTGCGGACGCCAGCAGGCAAGTGGAATCGGCTTTAATTTCCGCGGCGAACGTTGTAATTAAGGACCCTAGAGCGAGACGCAACGTTTCTCGCAACAATTAAAATAATGACTAGAGTGCCGTGCGACTACGAAACATTTAACCCGCGCGACGTAGAAATCATCGGTGATTTAAATCGATAGTTTTTGGGGCGTAATCGGCCCCAAAACTCTTTCTCCCTCTCTCGTGCTCTTAATCGTTATTGATTGCTCCGTCGCAACGGACCACGCGGAATAACGATAAATTAGAGCCGTGAGTCACTTTTCCGTAAGTTCAGCCTATTCGTAATAACACGCTAAATCGTGCTTCGTGGTGGCCGCGGGCGTAATCTTTCGAGTAACGTTAGTGTTGCACGATAGGGACTTTGTAAAAATAACGAAATAAAAAGCGCAGTGACAATGAAAGAGACAGCAAGTCAATGTATGATAACGCGTCACTCGGAAATAAGTGTAATATTCGAAATGTTTTACTCAGCATATCATGTATATAAATTGATGTTGGGAATTGGAAATAAGCGTAGAATACGTAAACATAAAAAGTAATGAAATATTGTGAAGAGTAGAGAATAAAAGCAATATCTAACGATAAGATGATGCGACATGTTTAGATTCGCAAATATATATTAGAGCGACTGTAACAGCAGTTTTTTGAGGAACCTAAGTATTTTAGAGAAAAATGTTTCCTACAAAAGTTGTAGGGCTTAAAATAACCTATTTAATGATCATATCAGTTTGACTTTGAATAGCACTGTCAAGATCACATAAAAAATTTGAATTTTTTAAATGGAAATCCTTCATTTTTTATTACATATCCTTGTAGCTTACCTCGAGAGCTTTCCAAAACACTATAATACAATATTTTTCTCTTAAGTACTTTTTGAGTTATGAGGCTTGAAATCATTTCTTAATTTTACATAAACCATAAAATATCTAGCAAAATATTCATTTTTCGATTGTCTTACCTTAGTACTTTTATGTACAAAATAATGAGAGGAATCGATTGGTACAAAGAAAACACATAATTGTTTTTGAGAAAAAGTATGTAATTTGCAATTAAGAATTACATATTTTTAAAATTAAGAAATGATTTCAAGCCTCATAACTCGAAAAGTACTTAAGAGAAAAATATTTTATTATAGTGTTTTGGAAAGCTCTCGAAATAAGCTATAAAAAAATGTGCAATAAAAAATTGGGAGTTCCATTAAAAAAATTTAAAGTATTTTTTATGTGATCTTGACGGTGCTATTCAAAGTCAAACTGATATGATCTTTAAATAAGTTATTTTAAGCCCTATAACTTTTGTATGAAACATTTTTCTCTAAAATGCTTAGGTTCCTCAAAAAACTGTTACGGTCGCTCTGATATATACTCCCTGTATATTGAGAATAATTTTTTTATAATGACTACAATCGAGAAATACTTATGTAACGGGAAAATATTCACACGTTCGAAGGGCAATCAATCGGCATATTTCGTTTGCGATAATAATTACGCGGAATGAATGAGCGGAGAAAACGCGCGCGCGAAATCAAACGACTGACAGGAAAATTACTAGGCTGGGAATTTCGGGAACGAGCCAAATTAGGTTTAGCCTCCTCTCTAAGATTGCGGAGAGAAGAGCAACAGTTGTCTTCCACCTATTTCAATTCTCCGATACTTCCGAACCGTGGAGAACGTGCTACTTCGCGGCGGCGGTACAATTCTCCATTGTGCCGTCGACAGTGCAGCGTAATGTCAGCAAACGCCTTGAAAGGTCCTCCAGGGGAGTGTGTTCAAAAGGCCATTGTTCCGCCCGTGAAACAAGTGTACGAGTCATTCTTTTAAATTTGATTTGGCCGGCACAACGGCATCACAATCATGCGCCTTTCTCTTTCTCTCTTCTTTTTTGAGCTTTCGCCTTTTTTTCGACTCGATTCGTAAATCGATGAAAATGTTGCTGACTGTATATTCGCGTTTATATTAGCACAATCGCGTTTTCATATTATGATATACATTTACAGTTAGGCATAGAATAATAAGAAATTAAGAGATAGAAAGTCATTATTTAGCAAATATTTCTTTAGATTTTGATTAAAAATTATTGAATCTATTAATTTTTTTAGGTATCTTTCTCTTAATTCTTTTAACATCACATAAATATCAAATTTTATAAAGATTTAAAAGTGATATATCGTAAAATCTTGTCTATTTTCTTTTCAGAGCGTCTTATGGAGCTCGAGTTTCCTCTGCATCCTCCAGGTAAGTTCACGGTCGTAACCCTGAGTTATCTGCTTGCAAATTAGCGCCGTCGATTCTTTGAGGGATGTAGATACGCCGCGGATACGGTGCAATAAAAATGGAAATCGGCAGGAGTATCCTGAGAGATTCCCAGGAGCGCTTTGGGATTTTCGCTGATAAATCAAAGGTTTAACCCGGATGATCCTAACAAGGATTCCACGAGCTCTTATCTAGACCATATTGATTTGCTCCGTTGCGAAAAGTAGTTAAAAACTATTGCAGCTCTATGATGTGACTCGAAAGGATAATAAATTTCTCTTTAGACAGATACCCTCACATAAGAAATATCATTAATCTCATTTCTCGAATCTAAGAAGAGCAATATTATCTGACAAATTCGCATTTAACGTATCGGAATATTTGGCACATGTTATGCAACGCGCTTTAAAGAGAGATTATTTCAAAATTTAAATCCCAAGAACAATTTTAATGTGTTAATTTAAAATTTGTAAATTTCAGATTTCTTTCGTATTGAGAAAATTTAAAGAGTTTACAATTTTTTCATATGTAAAATATTAAGATATTAATTTATAAAAATAAAATTAAAAATAAAATTAAAAGTCAAGTTCAAGAATTTTATACAAGAAGATTTAAAACTTAAGTAGAAATAATAAAATATATCATAATAATCGATAATAAAGTAACATTTTTTATCTGTTCACTCAAAGAATCGACTCCTGCTTCAAAATCAATGTTTAATTTACAATGAATATTTTTGCGGATTTTCGCTATATTTTTAGCGTGCAATTTTATCTCGTTTTTGAGTAAATATAGTGCAAAAATGTGCGAGATCGCATTTGATGTACAATTGAGGACAGTGAAAAAGTAAAGCAGAATTTTGCTTAAATTAAAACGATCTGTATTCACGATCTAGGATACAGAACTCGCTACTGTACAAAGAGCTGAACCACAGCGTATTTAGCAGACACTTCGCAAAGATATACGATTCGACAAAGTTCGCCCGCGGCAAGAAATAAAAGTTTATTCACATCCAAAACTTTCCGTACGATATCCGCGATGATGGGGGAGGGGAAAAAGGTGAAAGAGAATGAAGCAAGGAGAAATGAAGGGAGCACGCTTCGTTTCGCCACCGTTTCCATAAGTTCCGAGAGCAAAATTTCCGTTACAGGGCAGAAACGTAGTTGTCATGTAGATACTTGGCCAAGTACTTTGCTTCGTTCTCATTGTCAGTCAAAGTGCCTCCGACAACGACGAGATGATTCAAAGGCGAATAGTCAGACGTGCTTTTCTTTCTTTCTCTCTTTCTCTCTTTGTTTTCCGCGAGCGTAAATGTTCACTTTGGTTGGAAAAATGTACGTACTTTATTTGCAGAGTTTCCATTACTTGCTACAATATATTGCGAGGAGAACAAAAAACGTATCGAAGAAAAGAAATTAAATGCTTCCGAGAAAATACGATTAATATTTACGATTATAGTGTATTAATAATCCAATATTTTAAACTTTCGTAGATAATTTCGCGAAAATTGCTTGATTTTTCTCATCATAGATGTTTAATGTTGCCATTAGAGAGAGTAACAGGAACTTCTTCATCCACTAATTTTACTTTCAAGCAACTTAAGAAGCACTCACTAAATCGCATCACGAAGTAATTAAATACTCTTTACTTGAAACTCCCTGAAGTATTCGTTTGCTTTAGAAATCACACTTTCGCACGCGAAAGATCCGCTCGATCTCCGACATTTTCACACATCTCGATAGCTGTGTTTTTGTGCGTCGGTAAATTACAAATAAATATACCGTCGTGAATAAAACGAACTCGGAGGCGAATCGGGAGAGTGAGAAAAAAGGGGTCGCCGATAAAGCGGGGGTCAACTCGACGGTTATATCACGCGGACGTCTGTTCCCCATCGACGTGACAGAAAGAGGCCAGGAAATTGTATCAAATTGGAGAGCGGTCCAGGGATTAAGGATCCCTCGAAACTCTCGTGGCTCTTTACTTCTCTCTTTCTCTCTCCTTCTCTCGTCAAGCGGTAAGTTCTCGCACATGCCGTGCTGATCCGGGCATTGTTGTGCAAATCCAACAAAAACCGAGGCCCCCCTTCCTCTGTCTGTCCCTTCTGCTTAATCTCGCGAACCCACTTGAGATCGCAACATGCGGCCGCGCGCGAGGCCGCACAATTAATTTATGTAGCATCTGAAGCACTTACAAGAGAGAAAGAGAGAGAGAGAGAGAGCTGCTGCATCTCTCACTCTAAAATTCGTGCGCGAGTCCGTCACTGCCATAATCTCGAATAATCTCTCGGCGCCTCTTGCAAATGTTTTTTTTTCCTCTCTGCGTCGCACGGTTGCTTTCCCTTGTATTTGCATTTCGAAATCGCTGTGGATTATTTCATGACAGCATTGCAGTCTTAGAATTATAGTCTGTGCTTTTTTTAATGCTACATCTTGTATACTGAGAAATCAAATAAAACAATTTGATTTATGGCACTGCAACATGATACGATGTGCGATTGTTCGCATGCAAATATTGAATAAATTAAAATGCTCACTTGTAATGTAATTTACTTATTATTAGTATTTAATCTAATATTCATGATATAGAAGATGAAGATGAGAGATTCAGTCGGCAGTTGACATCGTACGCTATTTTTGAATCTCTCAATTGGCGATATATCTTCAAGATAAATATTGTTAATCGATGAATGAATATATATCGCATAATGATAAACTGATTAAATTTTTAATGTTATATTTGCATATATAATTTAGATATTATAATGAACATTGTTTATTTTACATATATTTTATTTTAGTTTATATTTTATTTTCTGTTTTAATACAGTTTGTCGTATAATCTCATGTATGGAGTATATGATGCATATTCCAGCTAATAGCAGAGCTCATTAACATATAGGCGCATTATTCTTATCGCGTGTAATTTTTTACGCATTATTGTTCGGCGTAATTTTCCACGACGCTACCGACACACGAGTATACATGTTATTTAATTACAAATAACATTGATTTAATTCGGTGACTCCTCTCATTACCGTACATCTCATATATTTAATTATAAATAATTTAATTAAATCATCACATATTCGTTAACGTCGCGTTAATTTGATACCTCGTTTAATTAATATGGGACGACTTGGTAACGTGAATCGTTATTAATGAACATGCATTTATTGCATAAAAATAATAGTCTAAATTATAAAAACATTCGATGAGAATTGGACTCCAGCGTAATCAATTACATGTTATGTCTATTATTAATTAATTATACAATAGATAATCATAAGCTATAAACATGATTTCGCATATATTCGTAGTGCAAATTTAAATTATGCTTTGCATAAGTAATTCTAAAATATTTTTGATTGGTTAAAACTCTAATTTAAATATAATTGCATTTTTCCTTAATAGTTATATTCATTAAAGTACTTATTAAGAAAAAGAGAGAGAGAAAAAAATTTTTTATTAGAAAAAGTACACATATTATAACTTTTGAATTTATTTATTATTTATATTTATATTTATTTATTATTTAATTTATTTATTACAGTATGTGGGGCTTAAAAGATTAAAATAATATGATGAAAATTAAACTGATAATAAATATACATTTTATGTTATATACATCTTATTTTAATATATATCTTATTTTAATATATATCTTATTTCCCTACTAAACATATTTACAGTATTACATATTAGAAGTAACAATTTCATTAAAGAAATTTAAAAAAATACGAATGAAATAAGAATGAACGTTGTATAAATTAAATGTTGAATATATATAAAACTTGATTTTTAAGTTATAAAAATTATATAAATATATTTTTTCTCTCTAACTGTAAACATTCTTATATCTGTATAAATTCATTCTGCGTTGCAGTAATTATAGTATCGTAAATACGATTAACACCAATGCATTTTTTTTGTCGCGCGTAACAATTACACGACGCGTTAACGATTATTTCAACCTCGCGTTATATCTGTAATATCGTGCGTTCCCCATTTTCAGGAAATGTATTTCTGCCTGGTCGAATGACATTCTCGCACATTTACATATTGAAAAAATTCGTAAGTGCGCCGTTTTACCAGAAATAATGATAAAATGCGTATGTAACTCATTTGACGTGGACCAGCGCCGAATTGGATTCCACGTATTACGTAATATCATCCAATCACAATAAGAGAGAGAAAGAGAGAGTGATGCTCGCTGATTACTGTCTAAAATGTCACTTGACATTTACGAATCTACAAGTAGCGTACATTATATATACACGTTAAATAAATACTTTGCAAACGACACATTACAAAAATGTATTGCTGGTTTTATTTTAAAAATATCATCAGATTGAAAATTTACCATTTATTGCAATATATTTTCGCATATAATATTGCTCGAATAAAAATATTCTGGCACTTTATGGTACTTAAAAATACGTAAATGCCATACGAGAACATTTCAGACTGAAATGATGCACAAAATCCAATACTTGTATTAACACAATTAATATTGCAATATAACAATAATTCAATAACTTCAAAATAATAACATTTTAAAAAGGAATATAAATCAATATATTTTTTCTGAATATCATGTCAATGAATTTCAAGAGAATATTTATTTTCGAAGGATTTTCGGTGAAAAAATCTTTAATTTACGAATTTTTATATCCCATAAGAACAATAAACACGCATATTAATATTTATAATAAAAGAAAAGACTTAAAAAAATTGGAACTTTTATTGTCAATTCTAGACAGTCGGGTTGTTATCTCAAACATCAGAATCTCTATGCAGGATTTTACTATCCCTCGTAAGATTTTCGAGCTGAGCGGTCGAATTGTCGACCCTCCCCGAAACCTACTCGTTTTTGCCGGACATTCGTAAAACGGCGCGATCACACCCCTGTGCTCGTGGGCGCAGAAGTGTATTGTGCCATTGTAAATATAAACTGCGTCTATATATCGCCGTTTTCCCGAACTA